GTCTTGTTTTTGATTTACATTTGGGGATGTAATGTATATATATGACCTTTTCATGAACTAGAGCTTTATTTGATGTGAAGAGCTTCAATGTCTATTAATGATCATTTTGAGTTGAAGATCTTGTCTTAAGATTGTTTCCTCTTATGATTATTTTGCTTCCATTTTCATAGTGACAATGAAGATGAGTTTATGGAAATGTTTTTATTGGCATGATGCTTGGGAAATTTGATAGTCTATAGCTTAGGGTTCTCTTTTGATAGATTATTCTTGATTCCTAATGTCATGTGCTTCTACTATGTGATTAAGGGCTTGATAACTCTATGTTTAGTGAGTATGTCTAAGGTTGCAACCTAGTTTAGGTAACCAAAACATGCAATACTTTGATAAGTTATTCTTTCCTATTGATTTCATAAAAATTCTTGAAGGTAATGTAGCAATTTTATGTTGTTGCATTTCATGGTTTTATGTATATATTATTCCCCAAGTAAATCATGTATTAACATGCTTATGGATAGGTAGTGGATTCACTTCCCTAGCCCTCTCTATCTAGATCTCCTTCCTTTACATTTACTAGCATTCTTGTTTTATGCACACTTCAATTACTAGCTTAGTGACAAACCAATCAACAACTCCTTATTACACCTTATCATTCTTAAATAACTCTAGATACTTAGGTTGCCTTAAGACTAGCGCAGTCCCAGTGGTTCGACTTACCCGACCAATAGCCCTATTTTACAATGATTCGTGCTATTGCGAAGGTTGATGTATAGTTGATCAACCGATCACTGATCTATCATTTTGGAATATTGTTCCTAGGATTAATTCATCTGCTGTGTGGAGAAGCTTATTGGCTGTTCGTGATGTTGTCAAGGACAATTGTAGGTATAGAATTGGTGATGGTCTAAATATAAAAGTTTTCTTGGATCCATGGTGTGAAGGGAAGATGCTAGGCGAATTATTTAACCATAGGCTGTTACGGTGCCTAAGTAGGAAAATATTAGTATGCATGAGTTTATTATAGAGGGAGAATGGGATGTGTCTCAATTGAATAATACTACTCATGAGCTAATTCAGATGTTCCAAAATCAGAAAATTCATGGCGGAGTGGATGAAATTCAGTGGGTAACCACATTTAGTTTCAAAGCTGCTTGGGAAGCTACTCGTTTCAGATTGCAGGAAGTGAATTGGGCTGGTTTGTGCTGGAGTGAGGGGAGACTTGGGTGGTCAGTTCATGCGGTTTTGGTGATGCAAAATGCCATCCTCACACACTCTTATTTACAGAGAAAAGGTTTTGCTTTGGTTTCTAGATGCTTTCTTTGCTACAAGGAAGTGGAGAGTATTGATCATTTATTTTGTTGCTGTGAGTATACAAGAAAAGTATGGCACAATTTTGCAGGAATTTGTATTTCGAATGCTCAAGTTTGTAATGAGATATATGAGTTGGCAAAGTTCTTTACTCAACAATATCAAGGGAAGGGGAGGAAGATGAAGATGGCAAGGATCTTGTTTACAGCTTCCTTATATTTTTTATGGGTTGAAAGGAATAACAGAATGCATAATGATACAGTGCGAGAGAAAGGATTTAGCAAAGTGTATTATTTGGGAGGTACTTGATGTCATGGGTGTATGCCTTCAGGACATCCTGCAGCTCTCTTGTTTTTATTGGCTTGCTTTGAGTGTTTTGTCTTCCCTTTTTAAGGAATTTGTTTTGTTTTGGTAAGGGTATTCTCTTATTTGTCTTTGTACTGTATTGTTCATATTTATAAAAACTCCTTCATTTAGGAAAAATAATAATCTGCCTTTTGGTGACCCAGCTTCCATCGTCTTATCCAGATTGTGAGAGTCACAATGCAGCAGATTTTAAGATTTTAAAGCTCCAGCCTATTGAGTATCAACTGATTTACACCAAAGGCCCACTAGAGAATTATGCACAACTGTATCAGAATGAGAACAGGCCAAGGAATCTGCAAACCAAGTTTAAAGCATTCCTAAGAATATCTTAGGCAACAACTAGTTTGACATGAACTGCCCGAAGCAACAAGGGCTTGAGAGTGAATCAAGCAACAGATACACTGACAGTATACCAACAAAAGCAAGATATCATGCTAGCTTTATAGGCCTATTCCCCCGTATATTCCTCTTTTTTAATAAATTTGCTTTACCAATCTAAAAAATATGAATAAATAAAATATCATGCTAGCTTGAGCTGGAGATTAACGTTAGAAAATTTATTGTGGATCTCAAACTCTTACCTAAATTCAGTCCATCTTCGGACTTTCCACACCTTCGTGAGAAATTATTAAATGAGAGAATCATTAAATGAGAGAATCGGAAAATAACAATAATAATAATTATAAAGTAATAATAATTTTTAAGGATTTGATGACTGTGTATTGAAAATATGGTCCTATTTAATGACGGTGTACTGATCGGCTGAGTCATCATCGCCTACTACGATGACTCTGTGCTTTCGTTCCTATCACCTTTCCTCCCTCTAAAGTCTAACAATAGGTAAGCAGATTCATTCTATGTTCTTGTTATGTTCTTTGTCATATATATATATATATATATATATATATATATATAATTTTTTTTTTTTCATAATTATATATAATAATATAATATTTCACCGATGAAGACAAACCCTCAATTTGATGTGCTTCAAATCGATCGAATTTCAATCTATGTTCTTTGTCATATATATATATATATATATATATATATATATATATATATAATTTTTTTTTTTTCATAATTATATATTATAATATAATATTTCATCGATGAAGACAAACCTCTCAATTTGACAAGCTTCAAATCTTATTTGATTTCAGGCAAAATTAAGTCAGATAATGGAGGGCTCGCTCTGGGATTTATCGTGGGATTAAGGTTTTTTCATCTATTATCTAATTAATTTATTATATTAAAAATTTTGCTAGTTGCTCTCTTTGAATATCTTATCAGGGGAAATAAAGTTCATTGTTATTGATTTGATACAATTTTCATCCTTATTGGTTAAGAACATTGTAATTATTACAATTTCAACTTTCAAAAAAAAAAAAAAAAAATTGTAATTATTAATCTACAATTACGTATCCTACATATTCAGATTCATGCTCTAATATAATGGAACAAAGTAGCCATTCTGGGACAAGGATGAGAATCCGACTTTTACTTTGGTAAGTTATAAAATCCATCCTTATTGGTTAAGAACAATTACATATTCTAAATTTTCATTTTTGTGCTGTAGATGCCATGGAAGAAGACGCTTTCAATGAAAAACTTTGTGTGCAAGTGTTAAGCAAGTTGATAACTAAAGCAGATTCAGAAATTGTTGAACTTGAAAAAGATCTGCAATTCCTTCGAAACCAACTAGCAATGGCTGATGAACAATTGTCTAAAATATGCTTTGCTACGTCGACAGAAGCTATTGATTACCTTGTCACTTCAATTCAAAGCTTGAAAAATGAAATCAGGTAAGATATGGATGACTTTGGTGTTACTTTACTGATGCATAGAGAAACAGTGCATAAAGCATGAAATAGTGAATGTTCTAAGAAATTTCTGAAGCATATTTGTTTATAATTATTCTGTGTTGATTGAATTGCAACGAGAAAGTTGAATTGATCGTGATTGATGGGAAGAAGGAAGTCAAAATAAACGAGAAAGTATAATTGAGCGTGATTGATGGGAAGGAGGAAGTCAAAATAAACGAGTCTACAGTTAAGTACATGCAGCTCTTTACTCTATAAATACCAAATCCTTAAATATTCACCCTCCCTTTCCCTGTTTAGATTGTGACCTAATATATATATATATATATATATATATATATATATATATATATATATATGTTTGGGTAAATTGGTCGATGTTGGAAATCATATTTATAAGTTGGTCTTCATTGGATTTGATTTTTATTCTGATTTGATTTTTATTCTCTTTTCATGTTAGTAATTTTCCTCTTCTATATAATGATAATCCCGCTCTATTTTTCAAATTTCTTTTTGGTATCAGAACTACCGTCGAAGATGGCGGCATCAGCCTCATCTCCGACGGCGGTCCATCATCTTCCCTTCATATTTCAGATTTCTCTTTCGTCATTTGATTTTGTTGGAGCTCTCTGTTTTGAATCTCAGAATTATGGTGCTCTTCTTCCAAAAAATTAATTAAATTTTATCACTTAAGAAGGCCATATTGATGAAATGATTTCCCTTATTATTTTTACAAACAGAGCCTAAGATCAATATTACGAAAAATTGTAGTATCTAACTTCCTCTTCCTTCATCCAATTTCTCATAATATTGTAGTATTGCTCAAGGTTTCTCAACTGAGTTTGAGATATTTGATTTCATTTTTATTTTTTACCTTGCTTTTGCTCTGAAATTCTCAAATCTTTATTCTTTTCCTAAGCAAACCCATCCATTCTTCTACTATTTTTTGATAGATTACTTAGATCAAGCCCTTAACAATGCAAAAGAAAGGGAAATGCAAGACTAAATGTTCAACAATTCAAGTAATGTGTTACATGGCTAGTGAGATTGACTAGTACTTGTTTTTGGAGTGCCCATTCGTTCTATTTATTACTTTTTTGTTTTATGAGACATTGCTGGACCGTTACTGTGACACTTCCATTAATAACTAGGGTTTGAAGGTTTAGGATGCCTGTATGGTGTGATTTCTGGTTCATGTCGTGGTACCAACATTATATTCTGGTCATCGAATAGGAATACACTGAGACCCAACTGCTTCTTTGTATCGATTATGAAAATAATAGATCAAAGGAGTTACTGTGCACTTCATCTCGAGTAAAACCTTTAGTTGGATTTTTGTGGGCTTGTTGTCCAATGCATGTGTAGCTTGAAAGAATGAAGTGCCCTGTTCTATGTCACATTGTTTTCTCATTATCCTTTTTTTTTTTTTTTGATAAGTAAGAATTCATAAAAGGCGCGCAAGTGGGGAGCGCTCCCGAGGAATACACAAAACGCCAAAGGCAACAACTAAAGCTTTAAGCTATCCACAAAATCCAAAAGATCCCCCAAAGACTTACAATTACGCCCGTTAACCCAAAAAAATAAAGTATGCAATATGCTATATTTGAGAGACCAGATAGGAGTCTCCTCTCCCTCAAAAGATCTCATATTTCTCTCACACCACAAAACCCACCATAAACAAAGGGGAGTGGCCCTCCAACCAACCCTGGCTCGGCTCTCCACAATACACCCTTTCCAAGCCTCAATCGTATCCAAAGTAGTTCTCGGGAACACCCAAGACATGCCAAAAGCAACCAAAATCATAGACCAAACATCCCTCGCCACTTGGCAGTGGAGAAGGAGGTGATTAACTGTTGCCTCTGTCTTCTTGCACATACAACACCAGTTAACCACAATCTGTAGTCGTCTTTTAAGATTGTCGAGGGTGAGAATGCTATTGAGGACAGTACACCAAGCAAAGAAAGCCACCTTCAATGGGGCTTTCAACCTCCAAATTGCCTTCCAAGGGAAAGAAGGACCTTGGATCACCATCAGGCTATGGTAGAACGCCCTAACCTCAAACACCCTTCTCGGCGTGCCCACCCACACTATCTCATCCATCCCCACACCCTCCACCACCTGACTATAGAACAAGGCCAAGAACTCAGCAACCTCTGCTAGCTCCCAATCATGAAACCCTCTATGAAACTGCACATCCCAAGTTAACCTCCGGCTATCAAGATGATAACAGTCGGCAACCAAAGCATCTCTAGTTGAACAGATCCTACGTTTTCTCATTATCTTGCCACTAGTGTTTCTCGGTATTTGTTTTCAGGTATATTATGAGACCATCAAAACTTTTGTTGAAAAAGGATTTGAAGCCTCCGCTGTTAAAAGAGATCACCATGTGGTTTAAGAAAGAATGCAACTCTTTGATTTGTCCGGTGATGAAAGAAACCTTTTATCCCTACTTGATCATATGACCAATAAGGGGCTTTACGTTTTTGCCAAGATGCTGACAGGTGGCTCAACTAATTTTGAGAAAACCCTGGTGAAAATGACAAAAGATCATCAAAGAATGTCTTCCAAAAATACTTAGAAACCGAAAGAATAACCACCAAGTGATCATGTCTAAAAAGATATCCGAACTTCTGAAAGACCCACACAACTTCCATAGGACTTCCATGACGCTTTTGACTCCTGCATCCCAATCCTATCATGCTGCTACTTCTGCTAAGGTACTGGATGGACTTGAGGACTTCCCATTCCAGACCTTGAGCGTAATGCACAGGAAGCTCAGATGTATCCAAGGATACATGCCCCAGTTACATCCTCCAAGATCGGGATGGGGACAAAGCACTTTAATTAAAGCAGTGAGGAAAAGTTCCATGAAGATGCTATCAGAACTCAGTGAAGAGGATGAGTTGCAGGAACCATTAGTCAACGCAATGGCAGTTGCAGGCTTATCACTAAAGCTAATTTTAGGATGCAACTCTATAATAGAATTTCAACAATTTTCACCGGAAATAGAAGCCTTACAGAAAGAGATAGCAAAGGCTATTTGGGCTCTGCTTGGATTGTAACTCCCAGAACTGTTCTCTGTTCTGGGAGTTACAAAAAACTCAAAACTGTTTTTTTTTTCTCTGCTTGGAACCATCTTTAGAGAACAGTTCTTAAAGAACTGAGTTCCCATAGTATCACTTTTTTGAGAACAACTAAAAGTTGTTTTCCTTGTTTTTGAGATGCAATTCTCATTTTATTGGAAACACGGAGAACAACTTACGCTTAAAAAATATGACGTTGAGAGGCATCGTTTATAACCGTACAGTCATCCTTCATTCCTAACCCCATCTCCATTTCCTCTCTACGGCCTCTGTTGCTCCTCTATCTCTATCCATGTGCACAGGAACTCTATTTTAAATGCGATAATTTGGGTTAAGGTTTTGATTTGGTCTCTCCAACATCTCTCTGCAGCCTATTCTCTCTTGCCCTTTCTCTCTCTACTATTCATGGGGGTTTTGAGGTTTTCTGGCATATCTAATTTAGGTTAAGGTTTTGATTTGGTTGGTATTCTCTAGATTTCTCACTCACGTAGGGCTCCAGATCTACTGCTTAGAAGACTTTCTATTCAGGGCTCTATTTAGGTAATCCATTGAGATCTCTTTCAGCCCCAATATTTGGTTATGAATTTCTTTGTTTGTTGTGTGGATTTGGTTGATTGGATGGAATTAGTTGTGTGGTTTTCTATATAAATTATGGATTTGGTTTTCTGTAAATGGATCTCTTATGCGTCATTTTTGCTTTATTTTTGGTTGATTGGATAGAATTGGTTGTCATTTTTGCAAAGAAATATATATATATATTAAGAAGGGCAAAGATTAAACCCTTATCTCTGGCGTCTCAAATTAACAATTGTGGACAAAAAAAAGAAAAAGAAAAAAAAGAATAGATCATTGTGTTATTCATGAGGTTGTTAAAGAAAAGATTTTGGTGCATAATATTGGAGATGAGAATATAGTGTGTTTAAAAATTAGTTGTTCTATAACTTACTAGTGATAAAATTATTTTGATGCTTGTTACCCTTTATTTTGATGCTATTTTCCAGGTTAGTCTCTATATTTAAAGAAAATGAACAAAATAGCATCAAAATAAAACATCATGTAGCCACACTGGATGAACTCATCTTCCAAAATTACTGAAATTATAAGGAATGGTAGATAAAGATAATGTTGGATATCTCTAAGGAATAGTAGATACTGAAATTATTCTCGTCGCTCATGTTGTTATACTATTAAAATGATAGATTTTATAAAAAGAATGGAGTGCAAGGCCAGCTTATAGTATTAATTCCTTAAAGAAGATAGTGTAAACATTCTTCTCAGAAGTTGTGAATATTGAACTATAGGGTTTGGCATAGTTTATGTATAGTTTGTTAACTAAACCTGAATTAAATTAAACCTGAATTGATGAAGTACCTGGCTGTTTATCAAATCTCTCTTTTTCTTATCCCAACCTCCTTTTTTTTCCTCCCTAATCTCTATTTTATATTGCATTTTGTAGGCAGTGGTGTTGCTGGCATTGTACTTATTGAACAAGAAGAGAAAGTAGTTGCAATAAAGAAGTGTGCTGGTGTGATTCCATTGCCCTCCCTTTCAGTGTTGTTACATGGTGGTATAACAAGGAGGACACTGAACTTGTGGCCCTCTTCTTGGGTGATACTTCGAAAGCCCACAAAGTTGGTTAGTTCACAGAGTTTATTATTGAAGGGATCAAATGGCATCTTCACTAACTTTTCTACTGAGTTTTTGGGCAGAGCATGGACTTGAAAGAAAATTTTGTGAAACCCTTGGAAAGCAATCAGACAATGGCATTGTCACCCTGTATAGCCTCTGTGGCTTGTAATTGTAATTAACTCTGATTGTATGGATTCTATTTTTAAATTATAATTCAAAGGAATTGTTTTATTTAATCTTGTGATAAGAATATTTAAGAGTAATGCACATCCAATGCTTATAATAAATTTAATAAATAAATAAAAGAGTGATATGCAATATTCTTTAGTTTTCAAAAAATTATTTTCGGTAAATACAACCAATCAGATTTATGAGTTTTTGTTTCTTGAAAACTGTTTTGTAATTTTTATAGCCAAGTAGAGTTTCGAACTGAAAAAACTGAAAACTTTTCTCAGTTCTGATTCTTTAAAAACTATTCTTGAAAACAGTTTTGGGAAATCTAAACCAAGCAACGCCTTGGCTTCTCAAAGAGAAGGTGAGTTTTCGGGAGCTGAAGAATTTGTAGCTTTTGCTGGATCCAAATACTGAATTATCACATAGGAGTTTATGTACAGTAGTGAGGAACCTCCTAACTGAATATCTTTTAGAGTGCAGTGATATGGACACTATCCCAGGGTGCTTGTTAGAAACTCTTTCTATCATCAATAGAAGCACTCGAAGTGCCCCTCGTAGCTTTTTCTCAAAGAAGGATATAGAAGAAGAGGTATAATGTGTATTGAGTGTGAGTGCTCAGACAAAGCAGATTGTGTGGGACTTGCTTCCTAAACATGAGTTTGACCAAGATTATATAGATGCTTATATGAAGGATTTAGAAGAAAGCGATGATGATTATGATGATAATAATGATCAGCAACAAGCAGATATCCTGCAAAATAACAGGCTTTCTTATCCCAATGACAAGATAGAAAGCACTGGGGAAACTGACCCATTTAATTCCAACTAACTACCTCATCAGCTAAAGGAAATGGCTCTCTGCCAGTTCTTACACCCAGTGGAAAGCTGAACAATGACTCAATGGATTCTCCTTTAGCTTCTGCCACTTCAGGTTGGGAATCAAAGGTTTTTGACAGCCCACAGAATATGAATGGAAGCCTGTTCCACTTGGGAAGCATAAGGAGTTCAGGACTTACTGAACATTTAATTGATCCAGCGAAAAACTCCAAATCCGTTTCTTCCAACTTTGCATGCAGGGATAAGCACAAGATGAGTAGAAATCAATACCTTGCCATCCAAGAAGCCTGTGATGAGACGAGTATAGTTGCCTATCATCTCATCAGTCATATACAGAATGAGATAGCACATATAGAAGGCTTCGATTTAGACTGGGACGACATATCGTATCTCAGAGGCAAGAATGTAACTGCACAAGCACAGGAGAGGACATTTTCCGACTTATGGTAGATAAGATATTGAAGGTGATACATTATGGGGTGAGCGGCATAGAAGTGTAGCAATGGAAAAGAATTCAAATTAAAGTATCCGATAGAGATTCTGTCCAGCCAGCAGAATACATTTTCTTCAGCAAAAGTGTTGAAGAGGAAGCCAGTTAGTGAATTTATTTATTTATGTATATATTTTGAAAAAAGAAAAATATGCTTGAAGATGCAAGAAATTTTTCTCGAGTTTCATTACATTTTCCCCAAAAAATTTTCTTTTCCCTCTATTTTCAGCCTATTTATAGATTGTTACTTGCCTTCAAGAAGCTTCCTACCTAACTCATTGTGCTGCGCCCCCTCGTGGGCTTCTCTAGTTATGGGCTTAATTACACAGTGGATCCTCAGCTGATCCTTTAGTTTTGGGCTTGTCTTGTGAGAGTTTGGTTCGGACCATGGCCAATTATCTAGCCCGTTTCTCGTTGTGTGGATCGTACCCGACCCGCGCCGTTTTTGGCATCCTCATCTGCCCCCAATAATCCCCCCTTAATTTATTAGGGTAGGATTATTAATGAAGTTAATGATGACTTGGTGGCTCAAGACGATTGTGTGGGGCACCAAGTGGTTGATCTCGGAATTAATGTTTTTGAAATTTGAATCTCTTTGGCTTCCTGACGTCTCGGTTTACAGGTCCACTCTCCTTTTATAACCTTTATCTCATATTCACAACTTTCTTGCCGTCTCTGTCACATCTTGCTATCAATCAACTTACTGTTCATTTTATCCAACCAAATTAAATCTTCTCTGGTGAATCTCTATGAAAGACCCTCCCTTTTCAGCCATCTCGCAGCATCCTTTGCAACTTTCAGTTCTCTCGAGGTTAGTTTTGCTTCTTTTTCCTTGTTAAGAACTTTGCACATATCTCTAGGGATCATATTCGTTCTTATCATGCCTATCGATTTAGATATTCTTTGCATGAAACTCCATCTTCCTAACAACATCCATATTAGGGAGTGCCCCAAGAACGTAGACATTAGAACTGGTACCGGCCTCCTTCCCAGCGAAACCTTGTTTTCCCTTCTTCACCTAAATATTATAAGATTCCCTTGGCACCCTTTTATCTGTTATATCT